GTCAGTTAGCATCAGATGTGGCCACAAGCCACAGAGACACCAAAAGTAGTAAAGAACAAAACGAGTATTTGGTGGGCGATTAGCATTCTGACTGAGTCCAGCTTTTTGCCTGCCCATATGTCCATTTACACCACTCTTCTATATCAGTTAGGATTTAATTTGGCTGTAAGTGTCAGAAAACCCAAAATAACATATACACACAAAAGCAGTCTGGGGGTTGGTAGTCCAGGGATGAAATTGTGTCTGCACTGATCATCGGCGACTCTGCCTCCTTCTAAGTTTCTGCCCTACTGCCGTCGTGTGTGGCTTTTGATTTTATGCTCCAAAGTGATTGCTGGAGCCCCAGTCTTCACATGCACATTCCAGACAGCAGCAGGAAGGTAGGAAGAGAGGAATAAGGTCACGTTTCCTCCCTTTAAAGACAAGTTCCTTGATTTTTTTGGCATGACCACATCTAGCTGCAAGAAAGATTGCAAAATGTAGCCTATGAGCCGGGCAGCCATATGTCCAGTTAAAAAGTGAGGATCTATTAATTTTAAAGAGAAGGGAAGAATGAGAAGTAGCTGAGCAAGAGGCAGTCTCTGTCACATCTTATCTGCTCCAAACATATTGTAAACTTGTTAGAGTAGGTGCAATGGCTGATTCATCTTTGTCTCTCCCTCCATTTATCTGATTAATATTCATTCAATCCAGCTGAATTTATTAGCTGCAAAGCCATTTGCTGTGTACTAGGGATAAAGAAAACAAAAGGAGTCGTCTCGACTCCATTGAGTTCTTAGTCTCACAAGGGAGCAGATTTGGAGGCAGAAAATGTGCAAGCAGAGTCACCTGTACTCAGAGGAGAGGCTGCACCCACCCCGAGTGTCACACAGAGTAGGTTTCAAGAGAGCAGATTCTGCTCAACACTCAGCAAATGTGGATTTTGGTGAATAAGTGACTAATCAAGGAAATAGAATCAAATTGTGCCATGAGTGGGCAGAGTGGAGCATAACACTTGCTTCTAGGCACAACCTGGACACAGGAGATCGTGGACATGATCCAGAATGATGGGGACGTGCAGAAGTGCCAGCGTGCCAACACCTTTGACCGGCATCCTTTCCTTGAATGGACTCTGCCCCCACCCCTCAACTCAGGTGAGTTTGCCCAACGGGAACCCAGGAGATTGTAGCCACTGTGCTGGGTCAATCATTGTTGACAAGTTATTATGCATCATGCCAAATGTACTAAGAAATGTAAGACATAGACAGCACCCTTGAAGAGTATGTAATCAAGGTGGGAATAAGAGATATGTTTTCATAAAGCAAATAGTTACAAAGAGTAGCTTTGTGATAGAAGACAACCCTACAATGAGGAGGCTCAGACTGATTGGAATCAAACAGCCCAGCTTCCAGTGCTGGTTTGGATTCTTATCTGGGTGACCTTGAGCAAGTTATACTTCTTGTAACCTAGTGTTTCTTCATGTGTAAAATAATAATACATAATATGTATTAAAAACCTATAACTGATTGAGCCAATTATTCCAGCAACATTGGTTGAAAAGTTTCTTTTCTCTCATTGAATTGCTATGGCCACTTTGGCAAAATCAAAATACATACCATATATGTATGGGTATAATTCTGTATTTTCTATCCTGTTTCTTTCTATTCTGTGCTCTAGGATCTTTACATTCCCATATGAATTCTATAACCATGTTGTCCATTTCTACCAAAACAAACAAACAAGCAAAAACCTGCTGATTTTTTTGGTTGGGATTACATTGAATCTATACACCTATTTGAGGAGAATTAATACCCTAACAAAATTGAATTTTCTGACCAAGGAATATGGTTTATCTCCCCAACTATTTAGTCTTTCATCCATTTCCCTGTGCAACGCTTTTTAGCATTCATTATATAGGTCTGCCATGTCTTAGTCAAATTTAACTCTAAATACTTTTTATTTGATGCTATTATGAATGCCATTTTTACATTTTAATTTTTAATTTTCTGTTGCTAATATATTGAAGTATAATTGATGTTTGTATTTGACATTGTATCCTGCTACCTGGCTCATTAGTTCTAGTAGCTTTTTTGTATATTCTATTGAACTTTCTACGTAGACAATTATGTCTTCTATGAATAAGTAAAAGTTTACTTCTTTCTAGCTTTGATGTCTATTATTTCTTTTTCTTGCCTTATTGCACTGTCTGGACGTCAAACAGAAATTATGAGAACAACATCCTTGCCTTATTCCTGATCTTACTGGAAAAGCATTCAGTCTTTCAAATTTAAGTATGATGTGATCTGTAGAGTTTTTAAAAGATGCCCTTTATCAGTCTGATGATGTTTTCTTATATTCCTTGCTTTTTCAGATTTTTTAATCACAAATTACTATTAGATTGTGTCAAATGAAATTAGGAATTTAATTTATTTGCTTTCATTCATTCTCAGGGCTATACATTTTTATTTGATCATTGTGTCAAATGTGTTTGTTGTCTTTCATATGTAGTATTTTCATCACATTTTATTTTATTACATTTTT